CCCACAGAGCATTTACCCCGAGCAAGGGCTTTCACGCCTTCTCTGGGGGACACTGCACGACGCAATGAGCCAACACGTTTTGGGTCGCCGAAGTGGACCATGGCAGGGGCTCCTTCCATCTCCGCTAGCGCGGTTCTCAAAGCTTGCAGGTCTTTTTGGGATAAACCCCCGGTGGCAGCAGCAGCAGCCCTTTTGACAGGATGCTCATCCTCAGTACGCAGGAGAAAACCGGCGAGCCAACGGTATTCGGCGCAATCAAGGCCCAAGAGGACTATACGTTCAGCCAAGCGGGAATCATAAATCTTCTGGAGGAAGCTCGGTGACGAAGTACTTTCTCGTTCTAACAGAGCACGCACACACAGCATGAGACCCTTCTCCTGAGTGCGGGGACAGGGACTGGCCAACCACTCCTCGATGGTCTGGCCGATGGTGCTGCGATCAGACTCCAACGTGGCGATGATATCGTCGGCTTCTGCTTTGGTAGCATCAATGCCCTTGAGAATGTCGTCCCATTCCATATCCTTATCATCTGACATGGACACTTTTGCTCTAACAATCTCATCGAAGACGAGGACAGGTGAAGGGCGGCCTATCGTATGCTAAGTTGACATAATTGCACACGTCCGACATGGTAGGTTATACATAGTGTGAAGCGTTCATCATCAACAGCCTTAACCAGTCAAACGTATGGTGACTTGTAACTCACATAAAGCAGATTTTCGTAGGGTCGTCTCCATTTGTCCCAAGGCAGCATCTACATCTTTCTCCAAACCTTCGTTCACCTGGAGGGAAGCACTGTTCATATCGAACAAGTATATGCAATGCAATGCCAAATATGACGCGAGCCTCGACCTACTGCGAGGTCCCAAGCTAAGGACGTTCCCCCGCGCCACATACCTCCTCCGTGTTCGTTGTGGGCGCCTTTGAAGAACTGAAGTAGCTTTTCACGACCGCTCGGAGATGATCATCCGTGCTCGGAGACACCGGCGCCTGCGGTTTCTCCACCATAAACAAACAACGAAGGACTGCAGACGATTTGTAAAGCTCTCATTTGACAATCCCTATCGGTTTTGTGGCGTATGGACTGGAGATAATCTTATCCCCTCGCAGATCCACTACATTTAATCGATTCTATGGTGTAGTGGTTAGCACTCTAGACTTTAAATCCAGCAACTCAGGTTCGAACCTCGTTAGATATCCAGGTGTATGTAGTTACTCCTGAACTAACACATGAGTTTCCATCACATGATCAAATGCTATATAAATACTCATCGATGACTACACCAAACGAGAAAAAGAAGCCCATCGGGATACACGGGAGAGCGTAAGTTTCAAATACCTAATTTGTCGAGCCACGTCGGGCACCCATCCGACCTCCAGTCAGTCTCAGCAACGAGAACCCGATCCAACACTCACCATTACTATCAACTCAAGTGCATCAGCCGATGTATCAATGAGAAATTGAGCAGCACAAGTTCGCTCACGGACCAAGGCAACATCATAATGACATGTTGGTAAACGCGATAGATTGTCCTGAAAACGCAGACAATCTTAGCCAACGCCAGAATCGATCCTTGTGGATGAATAAATCATAGGTATTTATCACTATATTGAATAGATATAAGATATTCATAATTGATTTATATCGTAATATGAAAGTTATTATTAATATACATTTATTGGAATATCCCTTTAGTCGATAATATCATGGTTTATACCATAATTACCTCAAAATATGGAATATTAAAAATACTTGACCTCAGCCAAAATGCTCGAGAATCAATGGCTCGTTCCGAAGCGCACTATCAATTATAATCAACTAGCCTAAGGAGTGACCCACACGAGCACGGTCCACAGATCAATGAACCTCTCATATCCAGAGTTACCCTTGGCAAGGAGTATTCACTGATACCAAAAAACTGAAGGAGTGGATAATAACTCCTCGGAGGTAGTCACGTCAGATATACCGGAAAGATACCCCGTATCAAGCTCATTTTCTGCCATCCTACTCCTGCTTCCTATATTTATTATTGTTCCCATACCGCTCCAGTATTACATCGATAAGTCGTCATTAGTGTAATTAGAGTTTCCCAGTGGTGTAATCCTTAGGGCATTCTGATCCGACCGACCCGGAACCTCAAGTGTGGCGGTGAAGGCGTTATCACACGCGTCGTTGTCATAGTAACACGATGCCTTGTGAAGACTACGGGAGTGATCGAAGACATGGCCTGAGAATGCAACTCGAACTCCCGTATCATAAAAACAGTAAATGGAGTCGTTACTGAAGCGCTATAGAATCCGCAGTGTGGACCACAGGCTGGCCACTGTAGCCTTCTTCCCACGCAATGTAGTGTCATCAGGGTCCAAATACAACAGCACTCTCCGAATTCCCTCAGGGATTCTCCCTGGAAGTCACTATGACGCAATGCATACTGCTCGGTTGATGAAACTATCCATGACAAGTTACACTCTAACCGATAAATAGGACGCAGGAACGGTTTTTGTACCTGCCGGAGCAGTTCCGGGGACTATTCGCTGTTCCGAGAGTCCGACTCCCCCTCGAATCGGTAGCGATGGAGATATTTACTAGGGACGATCGGCATGGAAATTGAGCATCGTGCGACTTGGAGCCTTGACAGCACTTATCGACTACGACTTGCACGAAACATGCATTGTTGGTCGTTGAAGCAAGGATGACGGTCGCATGGGGTTGCTATGTGTTTCAGATCATCATTACTGCCCACTTGTTGTAGTTATACTCACACTCTGCTATGCAAATCGTCGCGAGTATCTGCATCATGGCTGCCCTTGCATCCAGCGAGCTTGATTGGAGCAAGATTACTCTCGAGCCCGTAATGGCTCCTACACCAACTGCAACTGGCGGCCTGGACCTGTCCGGCATCGTCCTTGACGGTCCAGGCACCACGTCAGCCGCAGTTGGCATCGACTTGTCAGGCTACACCCTCGAGCCGCCGGAGAGTGATACTCCTGCGGCCGCAGACCTGGACTGGTTCAGTGTCAGCCCCGAGGGAACGACAAGTCCAACAACTACGGGCCCTAAAGCAGAGTAAGCGATGGACGTTTCTCGCTTCGATATGTCTCATCCTCAGTGTTCCGGAGACTGCTGAAGATTCCCCGAGTGGCAGCACCTGTGCGGCTAGCAGGGGGTGGCCAGCAGAGCTCGTTGGCGTTCTCATCGCGATCAGTCTGCTTGGACTGATCGCCAGCAGCGTGCAACTCTACCTTCTGAAGAAGATCGTGAAACAGACGCTGGTACCGGAGGAGGTCGACGTCGAGCTAGGGAGCAGGTAGAGGGACACTGACACTCGGAAGCTCGGAATCTGAATTATCTATCAC